AAAAGTAGTATAACACAGTACTGTTTTGTACCCGTTTTTCTCTGCGAAGGAGTGAACATCACAATAGACATTTATACACCATTCGATAGCCCTTTTCAAGGGCTACATTCTAGACTATTTGTTTTTGGAAAAGGAGCAACTTCGATTTTTCACCTAATGTCCGCCTAGATGCCCACTGTGCTCCTAATCTACACTTTCAAATAGCTGGATTTTGTAAAACTTCAAAGAGGAGAAAATCTATGTAAGCCTGAAAGATTCGATTTTGTATTTGTGCACCTAATACTGGTCATTCTCGACCAGCCGATACATTGAAAAATATTTTTACACGTCTAAAGCCAATTGGAGTTTTTTTATTTCGATTTGTGAGTTTCTTTTGTAATTTCTCAATCTAGTCGTTGATTCTCGAAGGCTGCACGACGCGATAAGGAACTGGGAAGGACTTAATGCTATAAGAACAATCACAACTGAACTGAATTTTTATTTTTGCAAGCATGGTTGTTGCAAAGAAAGGCTAGCTTATGCTAATGCAACACCGAACTATCAGACAATGTCCACTCATTCACGGGAATACTGGCGATTGTACATTCTTTATACCAAATTTTTTCTGTCATTCGGTAGTTGAATCACTGCTTCAAAGGTGCTTTGAATATTACTTAACGACTGCTCACGCCATCATCACAAGAGCTTTTGTTCGGTAGCACCACACAACTAAAGAACGGAACAAATTTTTGATTGGCTGTTCTATTTTTGACTTTTAATCACTTTGTGTCACTTTTTGATACTAAACTATTGTAATTAGTGGTCGAACTGACGCTCATAATTAGTTTAATGCATACATTTTTACTGTATGAGAAGCTGGCTTGGGATGTTTGAGATCGAAACTCGAAGATGGCATTTCTTTCTCTACAGGAATATTCTTCCCCGCGGGTTTTGTGAACTTGAATTCATCCTGCACTTCTTGTATAGCTTATTTTTATACTTGTCTCGATGACTGCTTCTTTTGCAGATGTCGGAATGTGTTCTATTTCGATGTCAACAAGAAAAGAAGTTAATAAAAAGAGAGTTTCAAAAGTGGAACAAAAATTTGTTGCTTCAATTGGGTAATAGAAAAACGACTTCTCATGTGTTAATTAAATGACACTGTTTTACATTGTTTTGTAGGTCTTGAAACCATTTCAAAAAATTATTTTTCATATGACATCAAAACTTTTGGAGATAGAACGAATGATGGTATTTGGCATGAAGATAGTGGAGGAGGAACCTAGATGCATTATATGGGTATTTTTCTTTTAGAGCCTATTGATTTCAATCCAAACAGTGGCTGTTTATTTTGTATTAGCCGACAAGAACATTCCGTTAAAATAGGATCATCAAAAAGTACCTGCAAAACAAGTATCAAAGTATATAAAAGCAAATAACTTCGTAGTGATCTATGTATCGAATAGTTTTTCTCGTTTTCTCTTTAGCAGGAAACAACTGATGAAAATCGTCGACTATCAAACCATGATCCATCAACGGGTACTTTTAAAGTCAATGTTATTTTTTTAAAACTTAACCATTTTTTCCACTTTGATAATAGGAGATCCTGTGAATGCGATTCTTCGTGATGAACCATTGGATCTCAGTTTGAAACATGCATTATCAAATGAGCACATTCTACCAACAACTGCTACAAATGATAAGTGGGTCGACAAGTAAAATAAGATCATAACCATTTTCTTATATTTCTTTAATTTGACTAGGCACACATCCTTAGATTTCAAGTCAGATATAAAAAAATTATGCTCTCAAGAAGAATTAGATCGTGCATTAACCTGTATTTTATCAGAAAAAATTGGTGAGTAACGCGTAATTATTTAGTTTCACGTAGATATTCTTTTAGATAAAATAAGTTTTTTCTGAACTGTTATTAACAACTTTTCACAGAAAAGGATACCCATTGTTAACCAGAGAGACACGTGACACAAGCTACACCAAAGATTGTCTGATATGATGATCTAAGTGTTCATTAGTAGCATGATCTAATTATATTATGAGAAGAGAAGTTTTGACAAGATAATAAAAATAATGAATTTAACACTGCTACGAACGAACATAATTAAATTTTATCAAAATCCATTTAGTATTTTCGAGCTTTCGACGAGTACTTTTGCCTTAAACAGAAAATAGAAAAATGGTTAAAATTACAAATATATCATATATTTTTCACCAGTCATGTTCACATCTATGCAGTTTGAGTTAAATTCATAATAAAAATTTCCTACTGTTCCAGAAAATTGGACCGAAAACATTATCATTATCGCTGTTCATTTTTTCATAGATTATTCACGTCCATTACAATCTTCAAAATCATTTTCGAATAAAAGAGTAATTGAAACATTGTTCAATAATCTTTATACGTTGTCCGATGATCCATTATTACCATTCCTATCTCCGACATCATTGACAACTGCATTTTCTACCGCTTCATCATTATCCGGGATTGAATCAAGCAAGAATGGCGAAGCAAATTCTTTTTATCCACCACATTTGAACAAAAATAACGGAAATTTGAATCCAAGTATTACAAAGTTAGCAAAAAAAATGGCATCTGAACGTTTGACTCAGGAAGTTGATTTTCTTCGATCAAATAGTCAGTCATCATGTCTGAATGAAACACCGCCTTACACACCATTGTCCTCCTCATCTCTTTCAATTACGCCATCAACAATAAAAGCGTCTGCGTCTTGTTCAGCCTTGTCAACATCACCGAAGAAAAATCGTTCTTCAAATCGTTACTCACACTCTAACTTAAGCGAAAATGAAAAAATTTCTTCTCTATTAAACGGCGTTATGAATCATGTCTTACAAGAAATGTTTGAACAAAGTAAACAAAATGTGTCTGTTGAGAATTTGAAATATAAGTCAACAAAATTCAGAAAAGATGAGCCATTATTTATCAAAAAGAAAATTGACATAACAACAACAACACCCTCGTCTGCATCACAAATTACAATGAAAAAACCAGTTAATGGTGGAAAATTATCAAATGGAAACTATGATCATTCACAATCAATACTAAACAATTTATTAAGGTCAAAATTAGATGGAAAACCGAATTCTACAAACAACTCTTCACGAAAAATTTCACTTCCAACAAAATCAAAACGCTCACTAAATGAGCTGCAACAACAACCAATAGTAAAACGTGTAAAATTACAAGATGATAACAGGACAATATATGATCGACAATCGCCAACATCTTCGTCCTCATCTAGTTGTTCTTCTCAGTCGCCATCATTTAAGTCCACAAAATCACGATCATCAAATTCACTTAATGCTAGAAGTAAAATAATTATTGGAAATGATGGAAGACAAATTAGACCAAAAAGAGGTCAATATCGTCGTTATGAATCAGGACAATTGGCGAAAGCCGTTGCTGCCGTTTTAAGCAATGAAATGAGTGTTCATAAGGCTGGAAGCTATTTCGGTGTTCCACACAGTACGGTAAGACATTTCTAATCTTAAAAATACAATTTCTTCAATTTTTCTTTTCCATTATAGTTGGAATACAAAGTCAAAGAACGTAATTCAAAAACAAAGAATAAAATAACTGAGGATACTCCAGTTATTGACTGTTCTATGACTGATTCTCCCACAGTTGTTCAATCAACTAGTGAAGAACAAAAAAGTCCTCCATCGAATTTAGTATCATCTTCCTTTGGAAATAATGGCATTATACCATCACATCTGTCAAAATTATGTTCAGACACAATGTCACAGCAAAAATCTTCATCAACTATTCGATCAGGTAATCCACATGTCTTACTCTTCCTGCTACAACTACCATTAATCGGTGAAAATCTCTTTTTATGATGTTGAAAATGAATTTAATTTTATTGTTTTTTCAGTCAGTACATCGAATGATGTGTTTCAAGATCAACAATCTCCTTCACCATTAGAGCCAAGTACAATTATACCTGATTTAGTATTATCAGATTATACATTCTTACCCACTAAACTAAAACATTTGAGCAATAATAGTAGTAATGAATCATTAGAACAGACATCAATAAATGATAAAAATAATAATGAAACAAAAATTACTGCTGAAACTAATAATATTCAATCTTAGAATTGTTTTTATTATTTGGCAATGGTCATCTATTCACTTTTAAAAATTTGCAATTCTGAGTATCTTCTTTTCTTCTTGAAATACAATAATGCTTTTATTTGTTTTCACAATTTGTATCGAACACTCCAGATCTGTGTATACTTCGTTTGCTTTTGCAAATTTTTTCTCTATCTATTCAATGTTGTTTTGCTTGTTGAATCTCTTTCTTTTCTTTTCTTTTTTGTTTGTTGTTGTCTGGTGTAGATATGGATGCCATGAATAATCCGTCTTCAAGTTTATTATGTGTACGGCCCACATTCTAGAGAAATATTGTAGTTTTTTTTTATTTTTTATTTGTTTGCGCTAAAACGTCCTTTTAAACTGATGTTTTTTTCTGGTCAAATATTATTATTTTTTTCTTTTATTGTTAACTTTTTTTAACAAATAAATCAATTTTTTTTAATGTATGTTTGTATGTATCGTTCTCATACACATCGTATTGAATATCCATTTTTACAGATTATTTTAAATATCATCTCAAAATGATAACTATAACTGAAAAGTGTTCACAAATTTATATAATTAATAAGTATAGTCAAATTAGAAGTTATATAAGTTTGTTGATGTTAGCCAAAAGTCATTCTTAACAATCAGAAAATCACAATTACTTTTGTTGTAGCATTTTGAGCCGTCTATCGATGTTGTAATGTTCATTTGTTTCCTCAATACTCTTCATTTTTACATTTGTATCTTCAATTTATAACTGAATTATTTTCTATTTAAAGCTTAGCTATTCATGTGGTTGTTTTTACATTCCATTTTTTCTTTCTAGTCTCTTCTCATGTATTTGTGAACAAATCTCTAACAGCAAATGTCTGTTCTAGTCATAAATGATCTAAAGTGAGAATGGGTTTAATTTGAGCTAAATGTGAAGAAAAAAAAAGTATGTTTGAATGAGTCAGTCATTTTTAAACTTCTTAATCATTCCATTGTTCATTATTTTTACTTTTCATGTTGTTGGTGTTGTTAGAAGAAGAAGAAAAACAAAAACATGTTCAGTTTGTTCTTATTGTTATAGACGTTATTTTAGCTATTGCGAATTAGTAACAAATTTTTTTCTGTTTTGCTGTTGTTGTCTCTTTTTTTCCCGTTTGGTATCTAGTTTTAATCATTACTAATTTTATTGTCTATGTTATTCTTTGTTTCCGTCTTTTCTTTTCTGTTCTATCATTCTTTAAATTCATAATAAATTTATTTATAAATGTTGAACCTGATACTTTTCAATAAAATTACTTTAATATGTTATTTTCACTTGATATAACCTATTGGAATTTAGTGATAGTTTTCTACTTTTTTAGATTGTCACAATTTGTTTTGACAAAAATGGGATGTATGTGCAGTAGTAATCAATCCGTTACCATACAAGGACAAAAATTTCGTTTAATGAAACAAATTGGAGAAGGGTAGACATTTTTATTCTTTTATTAATATTCTGTTTTCATTAATTATCGACTATAAATTCTGCGTTTTCTTCCTATTGAATTTTGATAACATTTTTAGAGAAGAGAGAGAGAGAGAGAGAACTCGTATACATTTTCAGAATAGAAAAAAAATCGTGTTATGTGCAGGCTCTTTATTTATAAGATTTTCAGAAATTCTTTTATTTCTAGCCTATGTTTTCAATTGGTAGTTGCTTTATTTATTTCAGAGTATATTATAATTGTTAAAATTCGCTAGATAGAATGCATGCGAATCGATTAGCTAAAGATTTCATGAGTAGTTCCCGTGTTAGTAAAATATGATAATCTCATGAGTGTCATTGTTCAGAGCAATTTATTTCAGATGTGAATTTTATAAGAAAAAATACAAAAAACTTTATGAAGTGAAGCAGTTGAACTGCTAGCGGTATATGCTGTTAACATTTTCACGTTTTATACGACAAACTGTGCTATTCTATTCGATACCATTTCGTATACTTATCCATACAAAATCAATTTCGTCATACACTAATAACGGTAAGATTTCAATGAGCTAGGAAACATATACCTTAAAAATATCTATAGATAGAAAAATTGTCAAAAAGTGAACGAGTCAGATCATTCAAGTTTAAATTCTGAAATATTAGAGATCAATAAACAGAGAGAAATTTTCTTTAAAGTAAAGAAATGGAAATATGAGTTATAAAATAGAAATTTCACCGACTTCAGTTTGTTGAGAAAAGGATTACGTTAAGAATGGAGGAAAAGGATTAAAAGTACTAGAGTGAATATATTTTCGATATAACTTCTGAGTTTAGGTTACAATATACATAATTTGTATTTTATTTAACATTTTGTATACAATAGTCATCTAACTGTTTCAAATGGTACAGTTTCTGTTTGCAACCCAAATCTTCTTTTTTCTACATTCCAGTCGCACTTTATTTTCGTTCTTTTTTTTTGTCTCGCTGAATAAACTTTCTTTCCGGTTGTCAACTGTTATTACTGGCGCCACATTTGCATACGGTTGTCTTTTTTGAACAAATTATCTTTAGGAAGAAAAATGTTCATTTACCGAAGCGTTTTTTTTTTCTTCTATTTTTGGCTAACTAGTCGTAATCTTCTTTTTAGCCCATTTTAGATTGTTATTGAATAAGGCTTCCATTCAGAAAAGATCATTTTTGGTTTTCAAAAGTTCGCATTATTCACTAGACAGTATGGCTGAAAATCGTTATCTTGTTGATTATGCCAAATTAGGAACAAGTGCCTGTAAAAAATGTAAACAAAAAATTGATAAAGGTGGAATACGTCTTGCCAAAGTTGTTAAAAATCCGTTTGCAGATGAAGGTGGTGATATGAAACAATATTTTCATATTGATTGTATGTTTGAAACATTAATGAATGCTCGAGCAACCACTCAAGTGATTGAAAGTACAACAGATATCGAAGGATATACAGACCTAAAATCAGATGATAAAGAACATATTTTAGAACAAATGAAACGTTTAGCAGAAGCAAGAGCAAAGAAAAAGGGCAAATCATCAACAACATCAGGATCAAAGAAACTAATTCAAAAAACATTACCATTTCAATCGATTTCTCCAACAAAAAAGACACAAACACAAGTGTCAACTAATACCGCCACAGCAACAACAAATGATGATAAAAATAGTGAAAATGCAATGGATTATGATGAACATGCTAATACTTCAGAAGGAGGAAATGATACGAATGCGAGCGGTGATGATCCAACACATATTGATAATTCGTTTCGATCATATCGTAATTTATGTATGAAAATAGCCGAAGTCGATGCTCATAAAGCAAAAACAGAAATAGTTAAACAGTTTATTACCAATGGTACTAATAAAGATGGTTATAAAGGTAAATACATATGTTGCATTTACGTATTAGTTCGAAATGATC